AGTGCATTAAAAGCCCCTGGAACAACCCCCACGAGTCAACGTTTGCCACCCCCTGACCAACCCCCCCGGTGCGACGGTGCAGAGCGAGGAGGGAGGTGTCCTCCATTTGGAGGCGTCCCCACTCCGCAACCGACAACCCCAGCAACGAATCCCTCCCTTCTTGCTCGATAGGACCCGAAGCCGAAGGCGCATCGGCGGCGGCCACGAAGACCGAATCGGTGGTCACGTTCGGGGGCCTACAACGCCCCGAACCCAAGAGGCAGGCGCACTCCGAAGTGGGTGGCAACCGCGACAGGGCGTCAGCGTTCGTGTGGCGGACGCCCTTACGATATGTGGTGACAAAGTCGTAGTCTTGGAGAATCTCCAACCATCGAGACAACTTCCCCGATGATTGTTGAACCCGCAGGGCGTACTGTAGAGCGGCATGATCTGTACGGATGGTGAAACGCCGACCGTACAGATACGGGCGGTACTGCTGAATGAAATAAACAATTGCCAATAATTCCCGACGGGTAACGCAGTACCGTTGTTCCGCCGGAGACAGTACTCGACTACCGTAAGCCACCACATGCTCTACGCCCCCAATGAGCTGGGACAGCACGCCCCCAATGCCCGTGTTACTTGCGTCTGTATCGAGCAAGAAGGGTTGTGAGAAATCGGGGTAATTCAACGGCGGAGCCCCCACCAGGGCATTCCGGAGGGCGCGAAAAGCAGCCTCCTCCTCCGGCCCCCAATGAAACCTGACTCCCTTGGACGTCAAGGCATGCAATGGTTTCGCGATCGTAGCGAAGTCAGCCACAAACCGTCGGTAGTACGACGCGAACCCAATGAAACTCCTGACCTCTCCCACCGAGGTGGGAGTTGGCCAGGAGCTGATGCATTCCGTTTTGGCGGGATCAGTGGATATCCCCGAGCGCCCAACAATGTGACCCAAATACCGCACCGATTCGCGGAGCAAATGGCACTTCTGCGGTTTAAATTTCAAATTGGCAGCCCGCATTTTGAGAAAAACAGCACGCAACCTCTGGAGGTGTTCATCGAATAATTTGCTAAAGACGATGACATCGTCCAAGTAAATTAAACACGAATCCCATTGCAAGCCTGCTAAGACCAGTTCCATTAACCGCTGAAAAGTTGCTGGCACAGAATGTAAGCCCATCGGCAAGCGGTTAAATTGGAAGAGGCCTTGCGGTGTACGGAAAGCTGTCTTAGGTTTGGATTCGTCATCCAGAGGAAGCTGCCAGAATCCAGAAAGTAAATCCAGGGTGGAAAAGAATCGCGCCCCCGCCAAGGCATCGAGCGACTCATCCATTCGAGGAAGCGGGTACGCATCTGCCTCAGAAATTTTGTTCAATCGCCGAAAGTCGACACAAAACCGCAGTGAGCCGTCGTGTTTTTTCACCAAAACGATCGGCGCACCCCACGGGCTGTTGGAAGGGGAAATGATATCGGCGGCTAGCATGTCATCAACAGCCGATTTGACATGATCCTTTTCGGCGGGACTCAACCTTAAGGGATTTTGGTGGATTGGTGCGCTGTCACCCGTGTCAATATGGTGTCGCAGCAATTTAGTACAACCAATATCAAATTTGTGTTGACTAAAAACGTCGGCAAATTCGTTCAGAAGAACTCGCAGCTGCGCACGCTGCGAGTCGGACAGGTCCACTGATCCCGCGCAAAGCGCATCCAGCCATCCGTCATCACAGTCCGAATGTGGTCGCGACGGAGGGTCGGTGCTTACGTGACCCACGAGTGGTTCCTCATAGGGTACCGGCGTTGCGTGTGCAAGCACGGTCCCTTGAGGAACCACGGCCGTTCGCGATCCTACATTAAGGACTGCAATGAAGGGGTCCCCATCCCCTTTCACCATGGTCTGAGCCGCTAGCAAATCGGGTCCATTGACCCCGGCCCGAGATGGTCCCAACAAGACCCCCCGATCCGCAACCCCTTCAGCAAACGGCCGACGCAACCTAAGAGGGACGAGCATCTGAGCCCCCGGGGGTACGCGCACAGTTTTTGTCACGAGCGCCTGCACGGTGGCAAACGCCCGACGCTCCGTGGCGGGAGAAGACAAAAATGTAACACGTCGGCCCGACGGGAGCTCGATGCACCCCTGGTCAATCAAGATACGAATGGGCATTTTGGCCAAGAAATCCATCCCCAACAGGCACGGAACCACGAGTGAGGAGGAAACCAAAACAGGCCCGGATAATTTAATGTCTCCAATGCAAATTTTGGCGCGGATTTGCCCAATGATGCCCAGCGAGCCCCCGTTAGCAGCATAGCATGGCACGTCAATGGGGAGCAAGGGAAGACTTCGAATGGGAAGGATGTTATAAATCAAATCAGATATAATGGTCGCCGATGCCCCTGTGTCAATTAAAATCCGCACCTCTACCCCATCAATATGACCGACCACGACCGACGATCCCGCCGACGCTGCAATGACACGATGGGCGAGCGCCGACCACTGACCCGGTTGGAGCGCTCGCCGCATTTCAGAACAATCCGACGCAACGGCCGTAGATTTTCGAACCCTGTTCGTTTCAGCGCGTGAGTGTGTGTCAGATGTGTGCATGGGCCAAACGTGTGAGGTGCCACGACTCGCCGTATTTCTCTGCTGGAGCTTGGGTGGAGACGGTGCGGCGTCCTGACGAGGTGTCGCCCCGCGCTGACGGGGAGCCCGGCATCCTGAAGCAACGTGGCCTTGAAGGCCACAGTTGTAGCACCGTGTGAGCGCCCCAGATGGCCTGGGCTGCTCCTGGCGGCTGGGTCCGTTCCGAGCCTGTGGTGCCGCCGATCTCCATTCCCCCCGCCGCTCCACCCCGCAGACCTCCGATGGGAGGGTGGTGGCCGCCATGGCATGGCCGGCCACCCCCTTGGCGGCCTTGCGACGCAGGGACCGCAAGCCCCTGTGGATGTGGCGCGCGACCAGCAAGGACGACATCTCTGCGTCGTCTTGAGCCAAGACGGCGACGTCCAGCTCATCAGCGAGTAGCAGCAGCTTTTCAGCCACCATGGCGTCCACTCCCTCCTCGTCCATCCGCGGGAAAGCTGCCTTCGCCAGGGCCAGGAGAGCCGTCCGGAAGGCCAGGGGCGATTCGTTGGCGCCCCGATGATGATCGTGGAATAGCTGCCTGCAGTCCGAAGGCGGGCCATAGACAGCTGACAGCAGCTGCAGCGCCAAGTGCAGCGTGGCGTGCTTTTCCTTAGGCGCCGAGGTGAGAGTAGCCAGGGCGTCGTTGTCCAGCATCGCCGGCAGCGCGCGTAGTGCTTCGGCGTCCGTCCAGTTCGCCATCTCCTGATGAGCGATGAACCGCCTTTTGAAACCGCCCCAGTCTCCGTCCGCGCCCACGAATTCTTTGAGAGGCGGCAGACGCTGCTGTAACGTGACGTCCGTGGCTGCGGATCGCGCTCCGTCGTTCCCAGCATACGTTACAGTGTGGGCGGGCTGCGAGCATGGCATCACCGGTCGCTCCGTTGTTGACGCGCTGGCCGGTGTTGATGATGTCACGGCTTGTGCTTGGCCCTCAGCAGTCACCTGACGCGGGCCGGCCCCGCCCTCTGCTCGCACTGTAGTGATGGCGGGAAATTTAACCGCGAGCCGCGTCGGGGTGGCGGGAAATGTCGCCGCGCGTCAGCTGCTGTCGTCGTCCCGCGCAGCCCCTCCAGCCCCCAGCCGCATGATTTCTTCCAACGCGGCGGCCGCAGCGTAGAGCAGTTCCGCCAGGCGGGAGTGAGCCAGCCGAAGTCCCTCGGCCGACGCATCCCCCCCTTCCTGTCGTAGCAGCGCGGGTGTACTCGGCCCCGGCTGCTCCGATCCGACCTCGGCCATCTCTGGTGGCGATTCGGCCGTGGTGTCTTCCATCTCCGACTCCCTGGTACGTGTCGTCCCTCGTGTGTCCATCGTTGAACGTTTACTTCTGACGCCAGATGTAGTAAGTATTCAGGAGGCTTTGACGACGGGGTCGGAGGCACACTTATTTATTAACACCAACTTGTGCACAGTAACGGGTACACACAGTACTTAAGGGGGTATCGTCCCCTTCACTCGGCTACAGGGAGACACAACATCTAACCCCGCTAACCTACGCCCAAGTCCTCCACTACGGAGCTAGGGGAGGCTACCTATCCCAGCCCTGGTCAAGCTGGGATCCCGGCACCCTGAGTCTCCAGACTGGCTCTTATAAGAACGTCAGTCTGGGCTCTCGGGGCCACGCCACCTGCTTGCCCTGGTCGGCCCCGACAAGGACAGCGAGCCAGGGGAGCTCCGGGGCCTATTCTAGCTGGTCTTCAGTCTTCGCTGGTTTAAACTAATACTCGACCTCGAGCCCTCCGGCTCACCACCTTTTATAGTACTCGGCCCCCGGGATGGGCCCGTGGGGGATGCAGGTGCGGACGTCGGTGTGAGCACCTCCTCTGTGTACGGCCCTAACCACGCCCCTTGTGTTTGTTAGCCATCCGTGCCCATACACAATTACACCTCTACACAATACAGTTTAGAGATCCAGATAATGGCACTTGTGAAGTATATAGAGCATATGAAACTATTTTATTTTTTACCAGATAAGGCACACTGAGCTATATTGCTCATTTTCACAAGCAACCTGCCACAAATGATAATAGCTCAATGAAGTGGCTTATCACGTGGAAATGTATAGCAGCCAAATACTCTAAACGCATGTTTCTGAATGTGGAGAGGAAAAACCAAAGGACCCGGAGAAAAATCCACGCGATCACAGGAAGAAAGACATGCAAATTCAAAATCTACAGCCTTCAAGGTCGGGATCGAACCTACGAACCTCTTTTATACCAGGTGAGGTAGTTAACATCTTGCCTCCATGGCCCTCCCCATATATATATGTGGACAACCTGATGCTACACTAGTCCCTGGTTCCTTCCGCAACGACACAGTCGAGTACAATTTTCACTCCCACCACAGCATTCTGGGCCCTTCCATTCCATTTCCACCCTGGTTATAGCTGCTATGTCTGTCTTACGCAGGACATGGCGGTGAGAATTTCTGCAGCTCCAGTCCCCAGTGTCATGTAGGGGATCTTCTCCTCTGAGATCTTTGCCTCCTTGAACACGTACGTGGAATAGAAGTAAATCTGAAAACCAAAATACAAAGATCCCCCGTATAACCTCAACAGACTATGAGGACAAGTACTCCATAATAGAGGTTTTTTGGGTTAGATCGCGTAAATATATAAATGTGTCGTTAAAACATGCCACTACTGGCCAAGACTAATTAGATAATCTATCGAAATTTAAAGAAATCAAAATGATTTAACCGTTCGGATAGCTACCGCCTTAGTGCTACGTGGAAGCGAATAATCAAATAATACATTATTTAAATGCATGCCTATGAAGGGAACCATACTTCAATAGGGATTACCGTTCGTACGGCTATTTTAATACACACAATAGACATAAAGAACAAGATCAAAGGGCTCACATAATGCACATGCATAATGTAAGTTGACCCATTAACCCCCCATCCCCACTTTGCACAAGAGCGTAGAAGTGTGGTCACCACATCTACGCCTCTATATACGGAACGAAACAGTTACACTTCTCCGCAAATCTGGCTGTTGCCTGATGAAGCGAGTTGTAATTACTGGCAAAACGTCGTACTCAGATTGTAAATGTTGTGGCTTGGCTCTCCAACACACCGGTGTAGTGTACTTGTGACGAATTGACATGTTCTGTTCACGTGATAACCCTTACTATTTGGCTGAGTCGGGTGATGGCGGGTTTTAATGACACATTTATATATGTACGCGATCTAACCCAAAAAACCTCAGTAATGGATGATATTGGTCACGAAAGTCTACGTGTTAAACAGGACAAGTACTGTCAGTGAGCACCTATGAAGGTCGGCATGGCACACGAGGGGTTGGGTGACCGCTTTTTTCTCCCCAGTGGCGATGTTTACACACTGCACCAGTTACTCATTTAAGGCTGAGTCGACCTTGTGGAAGCCCAGGACCAGTTCAGATATTCGTCACTGGTGTTGCCCGTGAGCTGGAATCGAAACTCGGGTGGCTGGGTTTGTAGCACAGCGTGCTAATACACATAGATACTTGCCCCCCGTATAGTTGGTAGTGTGTGTATAAGTTTGGGTTTATCGCCTCTGAAAGGCGAAATTGTAAAACTTTGGAAAGGCCCAAAAATACTTTTTCTATAATGGGGGTCTACGACAACAGACAGACCAAACGACCACTTGCATGAACACGAGACCGAGTCCAGTCCCAGCCAGGTTTTTTTTTAAATATATGTAACCTCATCTCTGGAATTGTCACAGTCCAAATGTAAAGTAAACCGCAAAAAAAAGTTATACAAACAAAATCTTAGTTGCTTTTGTCTCAAACCGCTGTTCTATCAAGATAATCAGATTCCAGGGCAAAGGTCAAGGAAAAAAGTAACTAAGGTCTGCAACATGAAAATGCAAGTATTTCTAGGAATCACATGCCAATGAAATAACCTAAGTCACATTAACAGTAGAAAATTACTGATCACGTTATAATGAGATCAACACGTTATGGATCATGATGAAAAAATAAGATTTTTTTTTACCCTTTCTGGCAATTAAACAGCAGGTATTAAGATATTCAAACACCACATAGATACATTTTGCAAGACATCAAGTCTGCATTAACCACACATACTTGTGGCAAAATATGCAAACAAACATGCTCCCCGTGGTCGCATGTATTTTTATCCGGGTCCTTCAGGTTTTTCCTCCACATTTAGAAACATGCGTTCAGAGTATTTGGCTGCTACAAATATGCACACGATAAGCCACTTTACTGAGCTATCATTTGTGGCCAGGTCACTTATGAAAAATACCTACATATCCCAGTAGTGGACCTTACCTGGTAAAATAAACATTGTTTAGTTTTAGTTTAGTTTATATTCTTCCACCAGAAGACTATGACAAATATCTACTTCTGGAGGTTATGTGTTTATTTATTTATTTACATTAACTTTACTGACATACAAGGACTGTCTTACATCTCTAGACAGGTAGGGCACTACACCTACACAGGTTGTTGGGGCGAGGGTTACGAGCGATGACGTATGAAGCTTGGCACAAAATACGAGAGGCTAGTATGGTGAACAAAGAGCAGAATATTAGGTTTTACTAATAACTCCTTAAACCCAATTGGAACAAATCTGCCATATGAACCTATTGTAGTTAAGGATTTTATTTTAATTCGTAAGACCTACTACCCAAGTATAAAACTCCTCACCACTCAAAAGATCATGTAATCAAAGTTAGTCTATGTGACATAAACGCCCAAAAAAGTCTACAATGTTCACACAAAAAATACACTTTCCAAAGTGAAGGTCAACACAAATCTGTCATTGAAATGTAATTCCCATCATGGTTCAATAATTTTATGAGGAATGAATCATCTGTCACCTACAATTCTTTTAAGATTTTCACTTCTGCAAATTGCAAAATCTTCTACAATTTACAGGATTTGTCAATTACGGGAGGGCGGATTATTGGCGGTTCGACTGAAGTGATAATTGTTGGCATTTGAATCAGGCTTTGGCTATATTGCTCGAGAAGTGAATGCGTGAGGTGCAGGTATTGTGTGGATCACCGCATTCAGTCCGCTGAGCTGCTGAGTGATGTTGAGCAGAAGCACGGTGACAAGCTGCCACCTCGTTCCGCGGTCCCTCATCACATCCCACACGGACCTGGGCCCCCCCCCAGACATCTGTTCCTGCTCCGCTCTCATGGCCAAAAGCTCCTCATCCAGTTGGTGCTCCAGGGGAGAACTGCCAGTGCCCTGACCAATATCAGCGCTGTTACCATCACCACCACCAGCAGCAACATCACTACAGCTGCCACCACCATTACTGCCATCGCCATCACCCCCACGTAACCATGCGAGCACTGCAAAGAGACAAGAACACACATTTTATGTTTTGTGACTTCCGCATGATTTTAGAATATTTGGCCTAGAGCTGGGATGAGTCAGTTAAAGAGATTCAACAAATATGTTTCCATGGTAGATCACTAGAGCCCCTTTAAAATTGGGCGACTGACCCACACCCTGCCTCCCAAAGGCAGGAATCCTCCTACAAGCCATGCCTAGTGTGGCCTATAGCTTGTAGTGGGTATCCTGTGGCGACCTCTGTGTGTGGGCATGAGTTCTTGTTTTAACCATTTACAACTACAATTGGTACCATTTGTTCTGTGTGTGTGTAGTAAAGGGGGTCACCTTAATTCTGGTAAAGTTGATAAAATATTAATTAAACTGTTGTGTAAAGTTTTGCTATTCGGGTGTCAACTTTTAGAAAATTTGACACTTTGATAAAACGATTGTTGCCCAAAATGTGGAGACACAAATCAGCACAAAAAATCTCGTCTCTGTATTCTCGCCCTGCTTCCTAAGCCAATATTCCTGCCCTGTTATCTCATCATGGCCTACACGCATACCAGTCCTGCTCATTATTATTTCTGCTATATAAATATTTCCAAGGACAGATGCTTGCTGAAACGCATTACAGAATACAATCAACGCAATGCTAACAGACCTCTCAATGTGCACTGTTATGACAGAAAGTCACACGAGGAGATTAAATAATGGCCTCATAAAAGAGTACACCCTGACTCCGGCATTATTCAACCTCTACATCAGTAACATTTTATCAAGAGTCTCGCAAAATAATTAATGCAGAAGATATTGCACTGGCTAACCCAAGTCTCTACTTGCGAGAAAGCAGAGAGAACCCTGGAGGTGGACCTAACAATGCTAGAAAATTACTTCAAAGCATTATGCTTGAAGCCGAATGCAGGGAAAACATCAGTATCCTCCTTTCAATTGAGAAAAAAAATTAAGGATCGAGGCCACTCAAGGTAAATTCTGTGGTGCCCTTCGTAACCATGACCACAGACCCAGATACCTCAGAGTCGCCCTTGACTGGACTCTCACGCTGTCGCCATCACCTCACAGCCTCTAGCAAGAAGATTAAATACAGAGTCAACAGCATCCAAAAGCTAGCATGGAATTCCTGGGGATGTAATACAGGGATGTTTTAGAGATCAATGTGGCAGAAAATCGCACTAAGCATGTCTGGTGCAACAGCTCTCACATTGGGCTCGTTGGCACTAAAATCAATGCTGTGCTGGGTGTGGCCAGTGGCTCCCGAATATCTATAACCACTGCAGTGGCTGTCAGTGCTCGCAAACATCCCACTATTATCCATAATAATATTTTGGGTTAGATCGCGTAAATATAAATGTGTTGTTAAAACCCACCAACACCCGACACAGCCAACTAGTAAGGGTTGTCACGTAAACAGTACATGCCAATTCGTCACTCGAACAGCACACTGGTGTGTTGGAGTGCCAAGCCACAACATTTACAATCTGAGTACGACATTTTGCCAGTAATTACAACTAGCTTCATCAGGCGACAGCCAGATTTGTGGAGAAGTCTTACTGTCCCACTATCAATAATCTGATGGGATGATGCAACACTTAAGGAGTATTTTTTAAAGATCTTGTAAAATCCAAATGTTCCCCCCTCTGCATATCGACACGAAATCTCCACCACCCTCCCATCGTAAATAGAGACTTGGACTTGAGGCCTGCCACCCAATGGCACAAGATGTCGGAAAACAGAGGTTTTCCAAACAAGAACCTTACTGAATAATTGGTAAAGGAATAGCCTGGTTTATCTCTGCCCCAACGACAGTGGACCACTCTCAACCTTGTCCGAACACATGAAAGGTGTGGATAGTTCCTTTCTGATGCCGAGAGGTTGTTGCATGCCTTAATTTAATCAAGGTTGGCTTACTGTAACGCCTTGCTTGCTGGCGTTTCTAAAAATATTTAAATAGATTACAACATATTTAAAACTTAGCTGCCCGGCATTTAACCAGATCTAAATAGTATGACCATATTGCTTCTATTATTTCATCCCTGTACTGGCTGGCTCCCTGTAAAATACAGAATCGACTTCAAGATCATTCTTCTCACGTTTAAGGCCTTGAATGTGCTGGCTCTTAAATATCTGCAAAAATTTTAGATCAGCTTATTCTGGTTTACTCATCATTCCAAAGGCAAGACTGGTGGTTTTATATGGGGGATGGAGCGTTCTGCAGCCAGGATCCACAGTTGTGGAATCCCCATCATTGTTCTATTGGGGATTCTGAGTCTGTTTCACTTTTTAAATCACGCCCTAAAACTCACCTATTTTTACAGGCTTTCCCCGTAACTTAAGATTTGAGAGCCAATGCTTATGCATTGGCTTTTCCTGATGTCCGAATATATCACTGTTTCATTACTATTTGCTTTTGCATAGTTTGTTCATTGTATTGCCAATTGGAGCATAGTTGTCATTTAATATTATTATCAGCTATTATTTCGCTTAGATTTAATCTACACTCGTGAGTTTATTTTTTTCTGTGCTTTGAGATATTTCGATATGAAAGGCGTTTCATAACATATAGGTTAGGATTATTATTATTTTAAAATCAAGGATTAAACCAAACTGCAAATGCAGTGAAGTGCAAACCATGAAGGGTCTCACTGATGACTGTCCAACGCAACGAGCTACATTCTCGTAGAATAACAGGACTCCACTCAGCCACCCGAGATGCTATGAAATGGCTTATAAAGTAAATAAATAATACGAGTATAGCCTGTGGCTTTTTTCAAACGCTATACGAAAGAATAGTTTTTTAAAAGAGAGTATTGAAAAATAAGAATAGATTTAACCCTTTCTGACAATAAAACATGAGGTGTTAAGATGCTCAAACACCAAATAGATACAGTTTGCAAGGCATCAAGTCTGCATTAACCACACATACTTGTGGTGTACATGCAAACAAAATATGCTCTGATAATATATGTATTTCTTCTTGGTTCTTTCGGTAAAGTCACGTAGAAGGGAAGTAATAAAATAATAAAAATAAAACATAATAAAACAATTCTCACGACGTTTCGGCCACAACGCAAGCAGCCATCCTCAGGTGAAAACCAGGTCTGTCGAGGCGACAGCGTCTGAATGAAACAGCACACGTGCTTGGAGCATATATATAAGCTGGGTTGGAAGGGGGGAAAAGGGCGCATTGACAAAAGAATATGCATATCAAGAGGAATTTAGCATATTTATGGGAAATGCAGGTATGTGATTAGTACTACTTCTGCCCGTGCATTATGCAGGATTAGCAGCATCAAAGGGAGGGGATATGGGAATGCAGGTATGTGATTAGTACTACTTATGCCCGTGCATTACGCAAGATTAGCAGCATCAAAGGGAGGGGATAGGGGTAGCATTAATAAAAGGAAGGAGTGTTAATAGTATGTAGCTGCAGTAACTAAAACCACCACATAAACAACTAAAGTATAAACTACATAGTATCATCAGTAAACTAAATTACTAACAGTAAGTAATACATTACGTCGTAAAAAATATATAATATGCTTCCATCTAAACTGTATTCTCTTACATCTGCCACGGCTGAGAGTCTACACCGTATTATATACTGCCATAGACAAACCCAACATTAAATTATATACTGTATTGCTATAAACCACCCTATACCTTATACATTTGTAATGCGGGCGTAAATGACCTTCCGGATATGACGTCACGAGGGGGAGGAGTTACGTCACGTGGGGGTAAGGGTTCAGGTCTTAAAGGGGAGAAACCGGAAGAGGAGGGGAGTGATCGAGGACTGAGCTTGAGTGGGGCCACGCAGGGCGAGAGCTGGGGGTGGCGAGATCGCCACACACGCACAGAGTACGGTCGGCACCGTTGGCCAGCGGTGACCGACCCCGGAGGAACCAGGAGCAGCCGAGGGGGCTGTAACGGGAGCAGCCGGAGCGGCTGCCCGAGAGGACCAGCAGCGGGGCTGCCTACGAGAGGGAGAGACAGCAGCCGGAGAGGCTGCAGCGAGAGCAGCCGGAGAGGCTGCCCGAAGAGTCCAGCAGCGGGGCTGCTGGAGAAAGGAGAGAGAGGCTACAGCAGCGACAACAGCGTCGGCCGCAGAGCGGAGAGTCTATGCGAGAGAGCCGTGTGGGGAAAGAGGAGGGGAACCCGAATAAAGGACACCAAGCCAGATACCGTAGTCGAGTCCTTTATTACACTGGTGTCAGAAGTGTAACGGCATGTCAAAGCAACTAAGAAAAAATAATATTCCGACGCCTTCATCTGCTTCATCATCCGACGACGACGGCCTCCCTCCAGCGATGGACCCAGCTGCGTTGGTGGAGGACACCCGGGCTGGAGCGAGTGCGGGTCCGAGGGATCAAGATGTCGCCGCATCGGCGGGCCCGTCAGCATCAACGGACGCGGATTTCCGATGGGCGCAGATGGCAGAGCAGCTTGAGACGCTCAAGAATATATTGGCGCAGTTGTGTACCCTCGTCACGCCGAGGACGGCGTTTGGGAGAGCCGAGGGTGGTCCACAGGCCGCCGCCTTGCCTTCGCCGTCGACGCCATCAGCCACGCGGCACGAAGACGCCATCTTGGGCGTGGCGGGGGAGGAACGGCGGGAGGCCGCCATTTTGCGCTCTCCGCGACGGGAGGCCGCCATCTTGACCACGCCGCGATGCGACGCCATTTTGAATCTACCACCGGAGGATTCATCGCTGGAAGACGGCGCGCCAAGGAGTCGCAGTCGTCATCTTACTGCGGTTAAAGAATTCTCCATCGGGGGTGATTGGAGCGCTTTCGCCTGCAGATTTTTGGCGGTGGTACGCTCTGCAAGGTGGACTGACGCTGAAGCTTTGGAAGTGCTGCCGACTCTTCTGGATGACGAGTCGGTCAGATTCTTTCGTTCTATAACGGCCGAAAAGAAGAAAACATTACGAGGAGTTTTTGATGAAATAGCGGATGCTTACGAGCCGCCCGATGATGCTCATCGCCGATTTGCTCAACG